CGGAGCGCCCGTTACATAGAGAGCTTGTCGCAGCCGTTTGGTTGCTAGAGGAAAATGGGACCCTGAAGCGGTTGCTACAGAATTCCTTCCCTGTCCATGGCGCTTGCCGATCCCGACGATGTTAGGATGAGGAATGAGGCGAGAGGAGCAATAAAAGCATCCCCAAATTATGGAAGAGGTCGCCAGGACTGTAGCTGGTAAACCACTCCATTTTATCTTGATATGTCCTATACTACCTCTCCCCGCCCCACGTTCAATGGAATTAGAGAGGCTGTTTCGTGTTGCTTGTATCCACCGACTCAGTATTCAGCAGTAATGCGTACGTCAATCACCAAAGATAACAACTATTAAGGTGGTATGGTACTATTAAACAAATATTAAAGGATAAATGAGGTACAAGCTACAACAATGGATACAGACAGTCAAGAAAAAGAGAGTCGGCTAAATCGCCTGACTCTAGACAGGGAGAACGACGCACGTTCACTAACGCCACGCAGGGAGAGGCCAGTTTTTGGAGAGCTATATTGCCGGCGAAGGGCAAAATTGGTCAAGCGGCGTTCAGGTCAGCCATGCAAGACAGTTGCTGGTTCTAGTCAACTTTCCTATGGAAGGCCGAGAGGGGAGCTAACGTGAAAAAGTTCCACTTTGTTGGGAGTTGTTTTTGGACGCGCGTGTGCACTCGAGCGGAGAGGGTCGACGGGGAGGGCGGCCGGCATTATTGGGCAAAGAGCTTCGACAGACACGCGGACGGAGGAAGAGGACAGCTTTTAGAATAGGGGAACAATGGTATATAGATCGAGTAGGAAGGCACTGGAAATGGACGTCGAGAATTTCAAACTTGGTTAGCTATGACTGTTGTTGGCCGTCCTTTGTGTACTTTGAATGTGTGGCACCGTTGTTCTGTCGTTGCTTTTGGCTACTTTTCCAGATGAAAATACACCGCGTACTCTTGGAATATTAAACCTCATAAAATCACTGACTAGATTAGGCTCAATTCCTTAGACGTCTAAATGCATCAGTTTTCCTTCCTTTTAGATGCTAGCGAGTGGCACAAAAAGAGTAGCATGGCGATTTTTAAATTAAATGTTAGATTGTTTATTTGAGCATTTTTGTGTTTTCCTTTTTTCCAGAGGTTCTGTAAGGCCGCTTACCGGGCCGAAAATGGCTCACAGCTGTTTCAAGCAGCTTATAAATTCAGCAAAAGGATGATGATCGTACCCTCTCACCCAGCTGTCGTCAAAGGCAGTGGGATCCCGGTTCGCCCTCGGAAGAGCTCAGTAAACTTTGAACGAACGGATTTAGGTAACCTGCCAAATTCGATATACTTGTTAGCAAATAACTTTTGAAAATGCTGCCATGGCTGCATGCGGAGTAAAGAATCCGTTGGCTTTGTTGGTTGTCCTATTAGGTTCTCGTTTCTTCAGGGACATTTTTGTGGCTTCTTTTGGATAATGACAAAATGAAAATTTCCATTTTATGACTGGGCATAATATTCATAAACTGACAATAAATGCTCGTTCAGATTTATCAAACAATCCTTGAGATTGACTTGTTTCTACAGCTCTGCAATCTGATTTGCCAGGTCCTGCTGCTGTTTCTGGGATTTTCCTGTCCCAAAGCTTCGACTGATTTGACTGAAAAAAAAGAATTTAAAAGCTGTTTTTCAGGCTACGACGTGCAAGAAATTTGAAAAAAGGGACGTGCACATTTTTTACCTGGATACTGAATGATTGGTTTGCTCTGTGTTTCGCCTCTTACATATAGAGGCAGTATGAAGAATTTGTGGCCTGTCACGCGATGTGACTTATGGGTTGAAGCGCACACGAGAAAACTGGAGATGGGCAGAGCCACCAGTTAATGTTTTTGATATTTTTTGCTTGACCGTATTTGTTGTAACGGTGACTTCAGTGGTGTCACCGTCTAATTACGCCCTTTGGAATCCCAAAGGAAGAACACAATAGGCAGGGCGTAACTTTGGAATTTACCCGAAGTCGCTGTCTACAGTGGCAGTTTCCGCTGGCTGATCTTCAGCGCACTGAATGCCCCTGCAGTGGGGCGGACTGGCGGTGCTCGCGCAGTCCGTGTGCAACTTACTGCCTGAAGTGTGAGTAGCTTCTAAGTGATTGTCAAGCAAGTTTGGTTGAAGTCTCACGGGACGCATTGGAATAAGGTCAGCTGCCGTGGCAATCCTAAGTGGCCCTTGAGGAACTGCGACCAGTTGGGCACGCGCCTGGACGCGCGTGCGTGTGTCTCCGGTCCAGCCTTTAAAGTCATCGCGTGGAGACGATCAGAGCGAAGACATAAATACATTGTGGCAGTCCACATCGACAAAGGAACCAT